CGATTCTCTGATACTATGTCCAAGGGACTTTTAATTTTTTAATTAAATGATTTCCTAACTTTCAATCGATCGATTTAATACCTCTAAAGATCGCAATTACCTTGTAGAATCTCTTCAAAGGAATTAATCAAGACGACGCGACCCATGCATGCTAACAGAGACAGTGTAGCTAGCTTTCCTCTTACATAAAATTTATTCCTTAAAGTTGCCTCGTAGTTGCAGAAACTTCAAACGAGATATTCACTTTCGTAGATATTTACCGAAGGACAGTGAACAATAAATAATAAATTGTTGACTAAGCGGTCGTCATTGATACAAAAGTTATTTAGAAAAACAAATTAGCGTCCTTAAGTGACGGAAGAACGATGCTATTTTTAAATCTTCGTACAATTAAGGCGTCTTACTGAAAGGAAGTCTGAATCCATCCATATTCAGGTAGCTCGTTTGTTGCGTACCTTCAAACCATTTCCTTCGGCCACTACGTGACTCTTTTTGCAACGACTGATTATTTTCGGACGATACAATAAATCAGCCACTTGCACTCCGCTTGATAAACACATCGATATACACGATCGTTCAAAAGTATCCAGACACTTGCTTGTTTTTGACACAATATATTTTCATTATAAAATTATAGATAGATCGAACTGTACTGATTTTGTTCTTTTTGGCCACCATACTTACGTGTAATTGAGCTATTAAATTGCCCAAATCAAAAAGTTAATATAATAATTAATAATAAAACTATTGTTTATGATCGTCACACTTTAAACTATTTTATTATATAACAATCTTGTGCCTCAGGTTCTTTCATTTATAAATGAAGGATCATAGGAGGAAAACATAAGATAAGTATCTTTTCGTTCATTTTCTGATCTTTATCTTCAGTCATTCATTTATAAAACTTTCGTTAAATTTAAATATGGTTACTGTAAATCGACTAAGTATTCAAATATTTACGAACTGCAGTGTAAGGCAGTTTCATTTTGTTTGTATGACTGAAAAGGGTTGAGATTTGCAAAGGCAACAATTGCTGAACAAGGAGAGGCAATTTTTCCAGAAGCACAATTCTATGGTCGCATTCGATCGTTTTGCTCCGGAAACGGGGAGGATTAAAAACTCGTGCAGGAATCAGGATATTTATTTCAGTCGTCGATACTTAAACAAATTGGGATACTTTATCAAGATGATTAAGAACGGACGTAAATCGCCGAGACTGAGAAAAGGAGAATATTGGAGAAAGCTATCGCGTTGCAGATCGGATCATGTTCCTTTATGATTTCTATTCCCAGAGAAATTCTTTTCGATTAATTTCATATTCCTTCAAGTTGTTCTATCGAGCGACTTTTAGTCTGTATTAATTAGTTTCCAATTATATTTGTTAGATAAATGTAGGCATTAATTATACACACTATTGTTTGCGAGTACTGAGTCACGAATTATGCTGTATTTTGTAAGAATTTAATTGTTAAATAATCTGTGATAATAAAACTATTTATGATCTTTCGGTTATAAATTATATTTAGAGGATTCAAGTAAATTGTACAGATATATAACTTTGAAGGCCATTTACGTATCCATTCAGACTTAAAAGTTTAGTTAAATTAAATTTAAAAAATGAAATTATTTTATAATCTATTCTAAATGATGATTACATGCGATAGAAAAAATTTGTAATTATTAATTACTAGAATGCATAACTATTCATCTGCTACATTAATTTAGGAAACTCTTTGCTTACCTCTTGGTAAGAAATAACATTTAGCGAAGTAGAAAAGACTGTAAAGGTTTATTTCGAATACTAAAAACTTTATAACGCAATGCGGTATTTGTAGCAGTAATAATAATTCTATAGAATGATATACAGTCGTTGAAGAAGGTAGTAGATCTCTAAAAGAAATTGATAAAAGAAAATTTATGTGTACCATTAACTGCAAAGTAAGAACTAAAGAATACTTTCTTTCATTTTGTATAATAAATAATCGATATGATTTTGCTTTGCATTTTACACGTTATTTTATAACTATAAAACTACAATAATACGTGAAAGATTTGTTCTCGACCTGACATACAGATTCATTGCACATACTTTCAAATACCCCTATGTTTTTCTTACAAAATTGATGTACATATATCTACTAAGATAACAAAGTTTGACATTTCATAGCAAAGTGGTACGCGCATGTATAGGAATAAAAAAGTAATGACATTTAATAAGGAAAGAACTATTGCATTTAGAGGAACTTTCATTATCAGTTTAACTGGTACGAATCGAAGTGATCAACATCAAATGTACAGGGTGATGCTAAAAATCAAGATGGGTCACGTTTCTTTAAATATAAAAACGAAGTACCATAAAAGATTTTGATTATCGGGAATTAGATATTATTTTTATAAGTCATCCTATTGTTACTTGTTAGAATTGTGTTTAATGTTTCATATTTTTGTTTTATAGAAGTGCGGCACTTACATTTAATACAATTATATTTAATTATACTTCTAGATTTTAAGTTATTCATCGAACTAGGAAACAGAAATGAACCTATATGTATACTGCATACGTTACCAAATATTTACATTCATGTCTGCAACAGGAAATATTTAAACACGGACATAAATAACTCGCGAAATATATAAAACATAAAACAGGATATTCCTCACTGACAAAGTATTCTGTGGATTTTATTAAAAAAAAAAAAAGATACAATCATAACTTATGAAAAATTTGGACGCAAAAATGCACATAATACGCAGAAATATAGAAAACATCCAAAGCAGAATAGTCGTTATAATATTTAATACACAACATGAATCACCATTTACGTTCCACCTTTTTTAGGTATGTTCACAAAAATAGGAATTTTTATACGTGTATATCCGCAATTTATAAAGAGCACGTTTATTCATCTTACTGTTGTTACGTATCTTATTAAAGAAATAATAACAGTTCAGAAGTGTCCTTCTAGCAATATTCTGTCCCTAATTTTGCTCAACTCTCACAGTCCTCAAGTTTCTATCACTGAATTTCGTTTTAACAAACAAAAAGACTTCTAACATATCAAATAATTCTCAACAAAAAATAAAAATTAGAAACCACGCGTATCAACAATTATTATTCAATTTCTTCCTGAATCTTAACAATAATTTCTTAATAATAGGAAAGCAATTAACTTTAAGAATAACTGAAAGAACACAACAGGGTTAAAACGCGGGCCCAGTTATCACACTAATCCTGTACAGCGGTGCATGTGCTTCCTGCCCTGCTATTTCCTTCTTATCTCACCATGTAATAACTACATTATTTTGGATCAAGGAACTATACCGCTGATTGTATCAATTCTCTTTCAACTTTCAACTCACGCACACCGTTTTAACTGCCTGACACAATCGAATACCTAAACGTAATCGAACGCTAACACACGTTGATTCAGGATAACAGAGGAGGTACCATTCAAACACGGATGAGGAACGAGAATAAACAGGATCTTCGGGTACTGGTTTAGCGAAAAGCGTAGCACTCACACACAGAGTTGTCTATCTTTTTCTCTTTCTTTGTACATACGTTTACCGACCTGCACGAAGTGCTGCACACTCTCCAACAGCATACCGTACATTGTTCCGGCTGTTTCCGCGGTATTACTTCACCAAGTGACGTACGCATTCATAAGGAAGCAGCTCGTGCCCGGAATTGGGAAAATGCGATCTTTCGCGATCACGACGGTGTTTCTGAGCGCGGAACGTCGGTTGCATCGTCGCGGCGAACGCGTCGCACCGCCGTCTTCCAGTCAAGTGTTTCGCGCCATTACCATGCCAGTTGCCATATCAGATTGCGCTTTTATTATCTCTCTTTACGAGAGAGTGAACACAGAGAGACTGGTCCGGCTCGACGGCGCGCTTAACTTTGAGTTTCAACATTGTGCCGACGGGGGTTCAGACTCGGGAAGGGTGGTTAGGATTCACGCCGACTGCGTGCGCAGCATGCTGGTTCTTCTGCTTGCTTCCTAGCACCTTTGGACACCTGTTCATCTTCCGATAGCGTATGTACACCTGGGAATTGTTTCCCTTACTTGTCAGAAATTCTGACGTATGCGATGACAGTAAGTTATATGTATGTAATATACGTTGGTCTGATCTCATTCCTGTCAAGGTAGTACGTGAAATGTCAGAGATGATAGCTGAAAACGTAGTTTTTGAAGCTCGATGCCTTTACATTTAACGGGTGAAAGTGATTTCCTAAATTAAGTATGTGGTTGGTTCTGTTGAATGGTTTTTCTGACAATGAGAAAAGCCTTAAGAAATTTAATGGATGCAATTTATATATAGGCTGATCCAATCTTCTCTATTTTGTAAAATATGTAAAATATTGACTAGCGATTTTTGGACGTTGAAGTTTTTGAGTTCAGCAGGCAAAAGTGAGTTTTAGGATTGATTCAATTTGAAATTAGTGGAAATTTGGAGAATTCGGTTGTGTAGTATGCTTGATAATGAGAAAGGTTCCAGGAAATGCGATGAATGTAATTTACACGTAAATTGACTAAATCTTTTTTCTGCGGAGCTGATATGTAGGGTACGAAAGACAAAATAGTGACTGGAATCCTATTTTTTGAAAAACAGATGAAAGTGATGTTTTGATGCAACTTTAAAAGTTGAAAGGTTAAGACAGGGCTAGTAGTTTAGTCAAATAGCAAATAAAGCCGAATTAACACTGTTGATTCATCGAAAAACATCGATTGCATCTTTGTTTCATCCGTAGTGATTCTTCAAAGTAAACAGTGTATGTTTACCTTTGCATGCTATTTGACGAAACTGCTGACTGTGTTTGAACTAGCCTTTAAATTAATGAAGATTGAAAGAAGTTGATTTGTTTGAATAATTTGTCTAACAAAGAAAAGCAGCTGAGACGTAGTTTGTAAATATTGAAGATTTAAATTATAATAGCAAATAGTGACGTAGGTATGTGTAATGCATCGATTAATGAAGTTTAAGGTTAGTAAGAATAGAGGAAAGTTCATTTAATTGGATTATTTTTCTGAGGAAACTTCTAAGAAGTATGATAAAAGATTTACTTACTTACGTATATCTATATATGTATCTAATATTTCTTCTCTAATCTTCTCTAATCTACCTAGTGAATAATAACTATACGCTAATCTGACTTTTCGTGTCAAGATATTTCGTGGAGAGCAAAGATTTCAGTTAGAATATAGTTTTTGAACTTTGAAACTTTCAAGTTGAGCAATTGGATGTGTAATATTTCGACTGAGAAATTAAGTTTAAAGTTGGTAAGAATGGAGAGAAGTTGGTTTGTCTGGCTAAATGAGTGGCTTATTCATTAAGCATTCTGTCCTTTGTCCTCTCTTGAGACGATTCGTATTATGACTTTGGGGTTTAGTCCCTCTATTTTAGTAAATAGAACTCAACGTATGCTTCGCGTAAACGCAATCTCATTATCAATTCAGATTAAAATTTAATCGAAATTGCTACCTAAGGTGAGCTTGACGCCTGAGATTCGATAAATTATTTAGCTTACCATGTACTATCCAATATAAAGTAGTTCATGCACGATGAAGACACAGGCTACGTAATACATACAGATCTATTTAACCTTATTCCAGCTAATATTTAATATAAAATCTAACGTTTAATATATTTTCGCTATTCAGAATACATTTAACGCATTGTATAAATTTTTACACACTAAATTCTTAACATAAGTCTAAGATCTAATATCCCTAATATACAGATTCAGATTGAATACGTTTAACTAAAATTTGATGTATTTAATCTGTCTAAACTACTTGCGTTAAATGTCTTATTGTATGAAATTTATCTATGTTCTACAAGTAGTGTTTTACGAACAAATTTTTAAAACATACACTTATCTTTGTGATGGATATTCGTTAATGCATACGTGCGAGAGAACGAAATCGTGCGTATGATAATGTATGTCACAAAAACAAGATGTACAACTCGGTATGTAGAAGATGTACTGTTATCTTTGCTATACACGTGCCAACGTTTTATTGTGCGTAGTAGCGACATACACGGCATTACAACTCGTTTTCGAAAGTGGGAATTGAACGTGCGAAGATGGCAATTTCTTTTATTCCTGCTACAGGAAATTACAGCTTATACGAAGAACTACATGCTATAGTACAATAGTCGTACTACGAGATTGCTTCGTACCACGGAAATGAAAACCGATAAAGTTCTTTTTAAATTAAATTGTAAATTACAAGTAACTATAGAATAATTGTAAAAATTCAATTTATTTAATTTTCACCATTGGTATCTTAACAAATCATATATTACGTACTTTTATACTGGCAAATAGATCATACCTTCTTTATTTTATTAATTTGAATTGTACTGTTAACTATATCAATTAAGTAATTAATACTATTGGCAATATTATTTATAACAATACTAATTATTTAGTTATAATGTATACCATGTATGAACAATTGCAAATCACAATCTCATTATCTTATAAATTTGAAATGTACGATAATACTGTCATTCATACGTAAGTTTATAATACATTATAGTATATCGTTATAATAGTGTCTATATTAAATCTCTCACAATAATAAATTGTAATTAATCACATTAACAATTAACTTTAATTGTTTTTATTTTCATGTTTAATTCAACACGACACATTTTGTATCTCCCATTCTTGAATTTCGATGATTCATCTAATAGACTTTAATCAGTAAGTTGAGAATCAACAAGTATATAATATTTTTTGTCATTGAAACTGATTCTATGACAACTCGAACGTACTATATTAGGATGGGTTCAATTCATTTGATATTGAAATATTTTAATTTGTTGAATGTAGGAGATAACATCATGTACGTTTACTGGCTACTGCAACATATAGCAATAACTACAATAAATCATCGTATATCTATATAATAAATCTGATATATGCAGCAGTCATCTAAATCTTCATAATTTATACTAATGTTTTGTAAATATTATCGAATCCATTATCTCAAATCACATTTAACCCAGATAAAAATGCACGTTTAACGGCATAGAAAAGGCATACGGAAAGTATCTTCTCCAAAATATAATTGTAACTTTATATTTAATTCGCTACAGATTATTCTACAAAAGTAAATAAGGCTAACCTTAAAAAAACACGTTCTTCTTACGTATTCTTCTTACGATCTATAGGTTGGAAGAATCTGAGATCGATATATATACATACATATATCGATACATGTTTCTATAGATAAACACCATTCATCAAACATCATTCACTACAGACAGGTTACAATACGCTTCAAATATTTTGATATACTCACAAATGTCAATTAACAATCAAACAACAATCAATAGTAATCGTACACGATTTACATCAGGGTCGTTCCTGAGTTTACACAATGTTATTCAAATGTACAACGATTTGAATGAGCGTCGTTCCCATCGCTGACAGTGGGCGCGCTCGAGAACGCATGACATGGGCAGTCGTTGGCAAGCGCGCGCGCGAGCGTACAGTGAAAACGTAAACATGGCCGCGGAGAGTAGCGAAGGTTTGCCAATATCTCCGTCCGAGAAATCGTTAACCGGTAGCTTAGTGTCCGAAGAGAATGAGAAAAGTGTATCACGATCACCGTCGACTTACTCGATAAGGGAGGACAAGTGGCCGGATCTGGTTGTCTCGAGGCCCAGAAAACTAGACGCTTGGTGGTTACCGAGACGTAAGTACATAATACGATAGGTGCATGTTTTCGATCCGTTTTCGGCGCGCATTTCAAAGTCGACGTTTCCGTCGGTGCAAAGTGCGCGCGATTCAACGTCATCCGACGATGCGTACACGAATCAGCGCGCACATTCTAGATCTCCATTCTTTATCGCGAAACGCCTACTTCGCGAGTTGACACATTGTCACGTGATCATCAATGGCAATATTACACGTGTTATATGTCCGACAGCTGACCAGATTATAGGTCGTTTACCTTTGTTAGGATGAATTATTGTGTGATTATATACTATGGTTTAGATTAACTGTAAAACAAGATTATAAAAAAGAGGATTATAAAAAGAACCGCGGCATATATATAGTTCTTAGTGAATTAGTATGTGGTCCTTATGACCGATAGTAGATTTGTTAGTGACATCTGAGGAGGAGTTACCGCTGACTAGCAATGTCAAGATGAATTAATGTTCTTAAACATTATAATTATAAAATAAAATATTTAGATCAAAAGTAGTATTCGTCAGAGTTTTAATAAAATGTAACAGTACTACTTTAAGTTGTTGCTACTGTTGTGTAGTTAAATAATTATTTAAATTTTTGATAAGGGATTCCGATAAAGCGATAAGTATTATAATGTTTCACGCTCGAAACAAAATAATATTTCGACACTTTAAGTAAGACTCTAGTAAGATATAAAATGCGTGTTGCAATTAACATATTTATAGTTAGTTAACTAACTAATTGCATAATTGTTTGCGTAGTGAAAGAACCTTGATAATTTTGTTATCTTTGATCAATCTTTCAATTTTCAAAGGATTCTTCAATTTTAGATCTGTGTCATTTTAAGAATTTTTAATATCGTACATGGAAATAAAGTTAAGAAGCTATTGAGAATGTAATGCACAATAATTTAAAAGTTTACAGAATAAAAGTAATATTTTACAATCTTAAAAAATAATATAATACATAAGAATAACATTATCATAGAAATATTTCTACAGACAAACGAAATGTTCCATCCGTTTAAGTTAAATAAAACTAAAATTACACGATCTAAGTTATAACAAATATATAAAGTATAATTCTATAAAATTATTTTATTTTAATTGCATTGCGGCAAAATTTTCACCAATATATATATACGTACAATTTAGATTTTATTTTTATTACGTTAGTTTTGTATTATATTCTGTTTTATCGACGTAGTCGAACCGTGATAGATGGCAGTACGTTCTGGACTGTCTGCTCCAGCATGTATATTGATTATCGTAGGTGGAGGTAAGGTCGGCGGGAGAATCAATATTACTTTTCGCCGGCGACTCGCCATTTTCGTCGTAAAATTTTTCGTGAGCAACGGAACACACGTCATACGTAGTTTTCCTCGACAGTGAACCAGTCTCTGCGATGTTGAGCTCTTAAGAAATCAACTGCCGTAACGTTCAGCTACGATGTAGCACTAAAACCGAGTGCGAACGGCCGTCTTTCTGCTTTAGCCAAAGTTTCTTTTCATCGCTTTTACCGCAGTGTCTATATTTCATTTTCTCCATATCACGAACTAACTTTTCAAGCAATTTAACCAATATCAATATCCTACAAACATCACGGATTGGATCTATTAAAACAGCAAAAGAATTATTATTGCTGTTTGTGTAAACATAAAGTGATCGAAATAAGTAAAATCAAATTATCAATTCGACCAATACGAACCAACTAAGTTACATCAGTGAAACACATCAGCTGATTGAAATTGTCAAGAGCAACGTCGACTGGAAGAACTCTAGTGACATCATTGGAGATGAAGAAGAGCTTTGTTCCAAGAGACAAGTCTAATTAATTAATATCAGAAGAGTTAAACCACAATTCTTCAGATATCTTTTCTCAGGGAAACTGAAGTTAACAAAACAGAGGAGACTAATCTTTTGAAATATTACATTACTTTAAAGAATAGTCACTGAGAGGATCGATAAAGAGGAAAAAGGTTCGGTTAAGGTAAGAACTCCATAGTTGGAGTGGCCTAAAACAATCCATTGTTACGAACGATCTTCTATGCGGCAAGAATCCAAAAACGGTCTGAAGATCAGGCCACCGGGTGACCACAGTGTACATCACAGTGGGGTCATGCTTGAAGAAGACATGGCTGGCGCTCAGGATACGATATACCTGTGCAACTTCCGTGTTTCTGTCGACGGCGAGTGGCTGTGCCTGAAAGAGCTTCAGGATGTCGAGTTCTCGTTGCAGGAGTCGATGCAACGTTCACCATCGCCACCGCTCGCTCTCAGTGGTATTAACCATCATCATCATCATCATCATCATAATGATCATCATCGTCAGCAACAGCTTCCCGATCAGCGAGAGCTTCGCGATATAATGCCGCCAAGCCCACCGCCATTGCAGCACGTTTCCAGCTTGTGTCTGTACTCGATGTTCTTGCACTATTCGCTCCATTCTATTTTCATTGGTTCATATATAATTGGAAATCGGGCTGAGAATTTTTGCACCAGTCAATGTTGACTTAATTGAGGTTTATTGTTTCTTACATCTCAGTTGGACGAGTTCAAGTTTTGAAGCTTTGGTTGTTCTCTTTCTCTTTTTTTTTTTTTTTTGCTTAGGGTTAGTTGACGTTGTTCCGTGGAAAATCGATCCCTGGGGAAATTTATTCCGGCTCGTTTATTATTTGACTTCGCTTAGGGATTTGGATGCTGGTTGATGTTAGTGAAAATAGATTAAAAAGTGCCAGATCATTCCATAAGTGAAAAACAAGGAGAAAATAAGGAATATCACATCCTACAGGGAAAATCGATTTATGAAGAGAATTGATTTGGAATATTTATATATTATTTATATAATGCAATAGTAAAGAAACTAGGTTCGGCGAATTTAACTGTATTATTATTCGTAGTATGAAGTTTATATATTACGCTATACATAGAATGAGTAATTCTGTGTGTATATATACATATAAATACAGTTATTACGTACACGTGATGTCGTCGTGTTGTAATGTACGAGTGAGAAAATTAAAATTAAATACCTTAAAGTTAAACAGATTTAAGGATTAATACCACTGTCTATAATTTTTGTCAAATCAAATTAATAATATG